CCCAGCTTTTAACCTAATCCGTCGCTGTGACGAAGACGCGGAGTACAAAGGTATCCGCATCCCCAAGGGAGTTGAAGTCAACGTTCCCTCGTACGTGCTGCATCGGGACCCGGAGGTATGGGAGAGTCCCCTGGAGTTCAACCCGGAGAATTTCTCCCCTGAAGCAAAGGAGAAGCGGAACCCGTATTCCTTCCTCCCGTTTGGAACAGGTCCACGCCAATGTATAGGAATGCGTCTTGCTCTATTGGAGATCAAACTCGCTTTGCTAAAAATCCTGCAACGATTCAAGTTTGAACGCGCCCCAGAAACCGTGGCCACACTGGAACACCGAGCTGTGATTCTCATGGTACCCAAAGATATGATATATCTCAAGATAAAGGCACGTTAAGTTTTTACATAAAAGGAACGTTTTTCGCTAACTACATCTGCTTGTAGATGTGTTGCATCATTATCTTACAGACATCAAGCTTCTTTGAGGATCCATACTCAGATATACACCTTATTCTATGGTTTAACATGTGATAAAATCGAATATTTTGCGAGTCACTCGGTATTATTCCGTGCCCCTATATTTACTTCGGGGTCGTCCGATTTTAATTTGTTAATCACTCATACGATTATAAACCGAATGGGACTCCACTCGGTCCCATTACCATTGTGGTGTAATGATAATGTTCAGTATTCATATACAAAGGCAAGAAATGGTCCGTCAAAAGGGATCAGCTCTGGTTTTTAAACATGAAACATACAATAAAGTTTAACATTTATAAGCTTACTGGCCCATTAATACTACAGTTCACTCCAATTTCAATTAAGGCGACGAGGAGAATTATTAGGGACCTTGCGTAAACCAGAACGGTGGCGGCAACGACGACGTGACAAAACGAAAGATATAATGGGCAGAACAATGGTTCAGCACGTGCGTTTTAAAACTGTGTACATCTCGTTGTCGTCCTCTGCGAAACAACTACGTGAAATCACCAAAATTTGCGAGGTCTGCAAACGGAAACCGCGACGGCAAATTATTTTAATTTCCATTTTGAACTCAAAGTTGCTTATATACGTTATGCTGAAGTGAGGTCTGACGCCGCACAGTAAACTTGCGAAATTCTAACTAAAAATATTAATTCATTCTTTTAATCGACGTTATCCTCGGCGTTGCTCTCCTGACTACTTATGGTCCCCTTTACTGCTTTAAGACGGAATGTAGGCTCATTTTCATAAAAATTCCCTAAATGAGTGTCGTGGCACCCGTGATTGTCCCATTGTATTCCTGGGGAGAGAGGGGAATTGAGAAAGGATGTTTTATTATTACTGTTATTATTAGAGAATTGGTAGAGAATTAAAAACATGGATGACTGTTTACAAGAGCATAGGGTTAAATATAGACTGGAC